AGCAGTTAGGGTTCAACCGGCTTAGCCTTAACCCTTTGCGATATATTCCAATTATTACTCGAGTAATGAACGAAATGGTTATGATAATATCTGGAACACAGTCTGGCCATATGGTGAAGGGCGATTGTCTAAACCAATACAAATTTTTTAAAGGTTCTGTTAGCTGTCCACAGAAACTGGGCTTAAGATACGCTGCCTATTGCCATCAAATACCTACCACGATAACAAAAAAAATTTAAACCAAACCACGCGCCACTGACAGAGATGTCAAATGGAACTGTAAAAGCCGTGCCAGTCCTACTCTACTTTCCGGGGCTAGACTTATTAGTACAAATATTTATCTCCTCTTCCGATAGGCTTTATTGCTGTCGCTGGACTTTATTCGTCGCCTGAAATAGAAATAGATGTTAATGAACCTTATGAGAAATTTATAGGTTTTCCAGAGGACGAATACGTCGTCCTGGTTAAAGTTCTTTGATTTGAGGTACAAGAAAACTGAAGTGGAAACACTGCATTGGCATACCGCAGACACATATCCTGCCTCCAAACCCGTTTGCTGAACTCAGCCGCGGACAACAGGGCAAGGCCTCCATTGTCGATACTCCCCGTCCCTTGCGAGTTTTTTCTCTCTTGTAGACTTCCGCAATGAGTCAAAATTCTCGGAAACTTGATTATACCAAGCGTGTAAGGGAGATTGTGCCGAAATATAAACATAACGAATATTATTTGGGTTCGCCGAGATTCTGGGAAGAGGAGGTTCTCATGGACCTAGGCACTCCCCACGTTTTCTGCAGAGTAAGGTGGTGGATCAATCATCTGCTGACGTAGAGGGCAAGGGTAACACGTTTCACTTAACAATTGTCGGTGACCCCATTCTCGGATCCTCCAATGCACATTCCACGTCCAAAGACACGGGGGCCCCTCCACTGCAAGAAGAAATACTTGGTAAGTATTCCATTTACTTCATATAATTATCTCTTTAGCCATCCTTCGGGATGTAAAGGCCCAAAAACAACATTTCTTCACGGCAATGGAGGGGAAAATAAATGCCCTGCAGGAACAAACCAATGACAAACTGTCGGCGCTGGAAGAGACTGTTAAACAGTTGACAACAGCGCCGGCCAGGATGACGTCATGGGATGCAGAATGCCCCCTCCCGTCACCCATCCGGACCATGGACGATTTGGACTCCTTCGAGGAAAACCTCAAGGACAAGGACTATCGCCAGCAGGCGGTAATAATTCTATTTTTAAAATTAAATATGCCCATTCAGGTTGCCTTCCTACGTACCCTCGGCGGTGCTAAAGTCCTTGATTTTGTGAAAAGGATTTTCGAACCCCTTTACAGCAACCACCTGTTGTCTCAATTTAACACGACTGGGACGCATAATCGACGCAACTTCAGACAGACGCGGTCATTCGCACTGCTGGAAGGTAGGTTTCACATTGAAATAACTAACTGTCTTCCTTCAGAAGTGTTCGTGACGTGGACTGTGCAGCATCATGCCCATACTGAGGACCTCCTTAGGGCCGTTCGGACACACCTCAAGTCCGCACAGGCTAGGGAGTTAAAGCTGTCCAAAATGTCCAATGGAAACCCTTTTTAAAACACGTTGTACATAAGCTCTCTATCCCATTTACACTGTACATATATCCCCCGTTTTTATGTCACGTTAAACTCCTGCACTTATTTACCCACTCTTTCTAACGGGGGAGCTATTTAAGTCGTGACTAATGGGGGGGGATGGTTCTATCGTTAGCAACAGAAGTACGCGTACATGA